ATCAACCGGGGCGCCTGCGTGAGGGCCGGGAGCGGTACGAGCTGGACACGCTGCCCTGGCAGGGGCCCCGGCTGGGCTTGGACGAGCTGCAGAAGCCAGGTGAGACCGCTGGGCACACAGCACCTAGGCTGGGGAACACCACAGAGACCTACCAGAGGGAGGCAGTTGGTACAAGGTGCTCAAGGGTGGAAGGAGATGGAGGGGACCCAGGGAGAGGTGGCATGGCTGGGGACACGAGCCCCATCCCACCATGGAAGGATGGTTTAGGGCTGTAGGAGTCTGGGGAACCATGGCCATGCCACACCCAGTGTTTAACGCTCTCTCTTGTCTTGCGCAGAGTTGGGGTGCTGGGCCGGGGTCCAGTCCATCTGTGTCTCCCTTCTCAAGGTGCCCCTGATGTTCGCTTTCCTGTACCTCTTCGTGTGCTCCCTGGATGTGCTCAGCTCTGCTTTCCAGCTGGCTGGAGGTAGGGTGGTGGGGGTGCCTGGTGGCTGCTGGCACCCGCCATGCCAGCACCCTGCTGCTCACGCTCCTTGCAGGCAAGGTGGCTGGAGACATCTTCAAGGACAACGCCATCCTCTCCAACCCGGTGGCTGGGCTGGTGGGGGGCATCCTGGTGACCGTGCTGGTGCAGAGCTCTTCCACCTCCACCTCCATCATCGTCAGCATGGTCTCCTCAGGGTGTGAGTGCACCCACAGGACTCCTGGGTTACCTGAGGCTGGGAACAGGGTGGCTGGATGGGATCATCCTGAGCAGAGCCATGTGGGGCTAACGAGTCTCCGTGTCCCCAGTGCTGGAGGTGCGCTCTGCCATCCCCATCATCATGGGCTCCAACATCGGCACCTCCGTCACCAACACCATAGTGGCCCTCATGCAGGCTGGTGACCGCAGCGAGTTCAAACGGTGAGAGCTGGTCAGGGCAGAGGGGACTCAGGAGGCTGGAGCTGCTCCCCAGGGTCCACCCCATGGTGACAGGCTCCTCTGCACAGGGCCTTCGCCGGTGCCACAGTGCATGACTGCTTCAACTGGCTGTCAGTGCTGGTGCTGCTGCCGCTGGAGGTGGTGAGCGGGTACCTGTATCATGTCACCCGCCTGGTTGTGGCCACCTTCAACATCCGCAGCGGGAAGGATGCCCCCGACCTGCTGAAGATCATCACAGAGCCCTTCACCAAGCTCATCATCCAGGTCTCCTCAGCTGTGGTGTCCCTCAGGGTGGTGTTCCCAGGCTGGTGGTCGTCCCCCAGCATTGCTGTCCCAGTGTCACCAGTGCTGGTGGTGATGTCCCCAGAACTGATGTCCCTTAGATGGTGGTTATATCCAAGTGTCCCCAGGCCAGCAGTGGTGTCCCCATCCCAGTGATGTCCCCGAGCTGTGGGTGCTGTCAGCCTCCAAGGGCCCTCTCCAACCTATGTTATTGCAGCTGGACAAGTCGGTGATCACGGGCATTGCAACGGGAGATGAGAGCCTGCACAACCGGAGCCTCATCCGTGTCTGGTGTGGTGCTGACCCACCGCCGGGGAGGG